AAAAAAAATTTTTTTTTGTAGGCCTGTGTAATAGGACAGTTCAATAACTAAAGACGTATTTGATGAGACTGCCTGAAGATGGTCCCAAATGTGGACCGAAACATGTAACAACTATCAGATAAAATCAATGTGAGCAGTTCGATTGGTTTGTTTTTATTTTTACTGTTGCGCTGCCGGCCAAATACCACCAATTCAAAGTCCTATGGTTAAAAGGTAAAATTGTCCTTGTGCTTAATTAATTAAGCATCGCACCATGAAGATCCGTGTGGGGGGCGGCGGAGGTATATCTGCACCATTCTTGACTTCGGCACTAGATAGAGATGAGCGGTCAGCTTCATGCCCCGGCTGTCATACCCCCTTGGTACCCATTTTATAGGGAGAAGGGTGGCTCATCCCGTAGCCTGTCGCTATCCGGGTTCCTAATAAAGACAGCGTTACGTGTATATTGATTAGAAAAAGTAACTGTTCTTCGTCCGGGACACGGCTGTTTACCTTGTCATTATCACCACCCATAATGGCTACAGATTTACGAAGTAATATCTATCTATGCCGGCCACGGTAGCCGAGCGGTCTAAGGCATGTACTGTCTTCGATCGCTTGGAAACCGGGATCGTGGGTTCGAATCCCACTCCGGGCATGGCTGTTTAGTTTGTGTGTGTGCGTTCTTCTGTGTTTGTCTACAGGTAGAGGCCTTGCGACGAGCTGATCACCCGCCCAAGGAGTCCTACCGAATGTGTAAGATCTAGAAAAACCGAAGTGAACGGAGAAGTTCATGGCGGTAGGCCTAGGCCCACTGGGGCTGTAGTGCCAAGGAAAAAAAATCTATCTATGGCTCTACAATCCGTTTGTTGGACCTTGGCCGCTTTTTCAATTTGTTAATCCTATACTCAGTCGGTAGAACTCCTTGGGCGGGGGATCAGCCCATCGCAAGGCCGCTACCTATATAAAGAAACAACACAAACACAGAACAAACGCACACAGACATCCATGCCTTGAGTGGGATTCGAATCCACGATCCCAGCGTTCGAGCTAGCGAAGACAGTTCATGCCTTAGGTGGCGCGGCCACCGTGATCGGCTTACGAAGTAATAACACTCGAATTAAACAAGTGAAGCATAAAAGTAGCCATACACTAAAACGTATATTGAGAATGTGGATTCCAATGGCATTCATAAACGCTATGGCAATGTTGCCACATCTCTTTAAGAGCCTTGGCTACCGCGCATATTGGCAAGAGTACGGAATAAATTTCGTAATATCTTTCACTATTCTTTATTAGATTCGCTTTGGGAGAAGGAAACAGAAGGAAACCTGTAAATTCTTTGTCAAGTTACATATCCGGAAAGTCCTGTGTCCGGCCATCTCGAAACGAGTTTTCTTTGTTTCCTTCTGTCTTCAAGCAAATTCTGAGACGTTTCCGAGGTTCCAAGTTGCTAATGCGTGTTTCTAATGTAGTATCTCCCTATCTGAACTCATGAAAACTAAACCATGTGCTCTAGAGGTCTCCAAATTAATTTTTCGAAAACACAAAAACAACGTTCTTATGGGCGTATATACTAGATATTGTACGTATTTAAGCATACTGCTACAGTACAGTACAGTACAGTGCAACACTGACTGACTGTTGTAGCTGGCCCTCGTAACTGCAGGTTTCGAGTCCTACGTGACTCATGACATACTGTCATGTTTAAGTGTGACTATTAAGACGGGTTTTGGATTTGATAATTGGACTTATTGCACCCTATACATTCACACAACTCGTGACTACACGCAATACAGCGCTATCGCTATTCTACACACCTCACAGTTCACCGTTACATATGCACTAGGATTCTCAGTCTTCACTAGTTTTATCATGGCAGGCGGATTTATCACGGTCTCAATATAACTTCAAATCACATACGAAGTCTTCTTTTCACAGCCCAATTAATTTGTTGCTATTATTCTGCAGCTGCCAATTCGGAAGACTCGACTCGACTACTGTTCTCGCCTCCTTCACGTCTTCTGTGCCCTTTTATAACCTTCGGGCACGGACCACACAGAAAACAGCCTGTCATGTTAAGGGTACGGGTTTACTGGTCCGTTGCCTAACAATGGACGTCATTCTGCTGCATGCGTACGTTCGGCGGGAATGTGTTTACCGAGCCGATGCTTAGCAATGGGTATACACGTCACAATATATTACTGTGACGGCTCAGGGAGCCCAATTTAAGGGCACCGTCATGCACACCTGACGATGACTATGCTCAAATTTACACACAAGCGTGGAGTAAGTGGCGGTTTAAGGGCCGCGCCATAGCTCAAGCGGTTAGTCGCTGGATTCCCACCGCGGCGGCCCGGGGTCAAACTCGGGTCTTGTCAAGTGGGATTTGTGGTGGATAAAGTAGCGCTGGGGTAGGTTTTCTCAGAGTACTTCGGTTTCCCCTGCCACTCTTCATTCCACCAAATTCTTCATCAACATAATCACCTGGGGCAGGTACAATAGGCCAATCTGTGGCCGCCGTGCCGAGTGGACCCAACTGGACTCCACCCCCCACTATGCGAATTAAAAAAAAAAAGTGGTGGTTTAGCCAATAATATTGGTATGTATATACTAGATAATAACACGAGACATACAAGTGCATGATTAATGCATTTTGCCTCACCTGGTGTGAAGGACTGCCTCGTATTCCGATAATAAGCTACTGTGACAGCTCAAAGAAAGGAATTA